CTTGACATTTTCAGCTACAAAGAAGTGGGGAGAAAGAAGCCTTTCTCGAAATATGTTGATTTGGCCTGGATGGCTTTTCACTGATATGCAGGAGTATTCTGTGTGGGGCAGTGCAAAACCCTCCCTTTACTCACTGCAAGGGTGTTTTTCATAGGTAGGAAGCTAAAGTTTTGGAGGGTGTTTCTGTTCTCTTTTGTCATCTTGGTTCCTTTTTTCTCATTCTTCAGTCGTGAAAGCAACATGATAGAGTAAAATCAACGTGGGGTCCGCAATCACACAGACCTAGATGTGACATATTTTTCTGCTACTGACTGGCTGAATGACCTGGGGCTGCTCATTTGAATTTCTAGCCCCCAGCTTCCTAATCCATAAAATGGGGGCATCTCTCTCTCATCTACGCATCTATCTTGAGTTAGTCCTATACTTCACAACCTGGCCACACATTAGATTCACGTAGGGAGCTGTTCAAAAGTTATTGATGCCTTAGCTCCACTCCAAAAGACTGATTTCAGTTGGACTGGGTTTCAGCCCCAGCATCAGCTTGTCTTAGAAGCTCCCTGGGTAATTCTGTGAGCAGTGAGGGTTAAGAATTGCTGAGATCCTCTTATTAAGCGTCTCTAAGCCTCAGTTGGCCTCTATGCTCATAACCTGGAAGTCCCTGGACCTCAACAGCTCATATAAATACAACAGTCTCTTTGTGCCCTTTGCTAACAGTCACTTTGTGCCCCGCAATCCTCCACCTGCTCAGATTAGCAGGCAGTGCAGTCTCTTCCCTGCTCCACCCTTTGTCTTCAGGGGCCTTTCATGAGATGCCCAGAACTGCCACTGGGGCTCTGCTGGGGAGAAGAACAATAATGTGGGAAACAAAGAAGGAAAATTATTAAATGTCCTTACTACTTATAGCCTACTGACAAGTCCTTGAAACAGGCAGAGTGACCTTCCTCTAGGAACTCAGCTGCCTCGATGTTAATACTTTGCTAAAGGCAACAGGTAATCTTAGCCCAACCCCCGGGATCCTGTAAGTCTACTTTAACATATAAAAATTCCTTTGGAAACTTCCTTTATCTCTATCCCCCAAGGTACATGTTGGCAATCATCCCCAATGCATATGGCTCACTGATATACATATCTGAAGGGTCTCATGACTAGGGTTTTACTAGGCAGTAATAAATGACCTTTTCTCAACAATAGCTAGCCCCCTCAAGGTCCTAGAAACCTTGCTTCCAAAATTCCTTAGAGACTTAGGCTATCCCTAACCCCCTCCCAACTTGAAAGCATATAAAGGGCCACTCCTCATGACCCCAGTGTGGCTCTTTCTGCCCAAGGGTCCTGTCTACGTTCTTTAATAAAACCACCTTTTTGCACCAAAGACATCTCAAGAATTCTTTCTTGGCCGTTGGCTTTGAACCCTAACGTCTTTCCCTACATCAAACAATACCTGCCATCCTTGTCCCCACACTGAAGCTGGGCTGTCTCTATGGTCAGCAGAAATGGTCCCTCAGAACAGTGCATGATGGGGGTGCCTGGGTGGTTCAGTTGGTTAAGCAACTGCCTTTGGCTCAGGTCATGATCCTGGGGTCCTGGGATCAAGCCCCCCATCAGGCTCCCTGCTCCTCAGGGAGCCTGCTTCTCCCTCTCCCTCTGACTGCTGCTCCCCCTACTTGTGCTCTCTCTGTCAAATAAATAAATAAAATCTTAAAAAAAAAAAAAAGAACAGTGCATGATAGTCCTTCTCTTGGTTTACCTTTGGCTAGGGATACCCCACTCTGATTGGCTTGGGTTGCCAGGCCCATGGCCCATCAGATGTCAGCTTTTCCACTTCACCCCAGAGCACCCATATTTCCTAGGTCACGGCCCAGTACCCAGAGAGCAGTGTCATGAGTTACAGCATCATCCACTCATGGCTCAGAACCAGCATTCTGCTCCAACAAACTATGCTTGGGGTGCTCAATCCATACTCTTCCCTCTTCATGAATTTCCTCTTGGAGACCCTTCTTTTTCTTCCCATTATCTGGCCTCATGTGGGTCCCCCCTTGTCCACCAGATGTGTTCTAATACATGTAATTAGTAGATAAACACCAAACCCTCTTCTTCCAGAAGGCTTCTTCGCCCATTGTGTAGATTCATACAGATTTAAAAATGTAAAAAAATAAATTAATTAACAAAAAATTTAAAGAAATGTATGAGAGAGGATCCATTATCACTACTTATCAGTCTCTCTCTTCTAAACACAATCTTTCCCCAAGCACCCTCTCCACTAAAACAACCCCTTTCCCAAAATCAGTGGGTAGGAATGAACTTACTTTGCATATGTGTAACCCAGAGGGATTACCGAAATGGTTATTTCCAAGACAAAGGACAACTTGCCCCAAAAGTAAGTTCAAGGTTTTAGCATGAGAAACCACACAAAACACTCCAGATGGTAGTTTCCTTAGTTTCAACCAATTTTAGGATTCAGTCTCTTCTGGGCAACCTGGTCCACATAAATGGGGTTGATATGAATGGCAACCTTGCAGGGCGGTTGAGAATAATAAATGAGATGTGGAATGAGCAACTTGCAATGTCTTATTATTATGTCTGTTACTAATTAGTTATGCTAATCAGCATCTAATCAGAGTTGCCCCTTTGGACAGCGAGTACCCCATGACCGAGTCATATTCCCTCCTCTTACAGCCCCCCCATGCAGTCGTCAGTGTGGTGGTCCTGACCCCCGACCAATACAAGCCCATGGTCACAGGTTCTCACAGGATCACCAGTGAGAGAAGTCACATTAGCTAGAGCGATGGGGCTCTTCACTGAAAGGCAGGCTATGGGCCCTGTGTTATTTGCTCTCTCTCCCTCTTGCTCTGGAAAACGACTGCTTATATTGAGCTAAAATCTGGTGGACAGAAAAAGATGGTTCAGGTTTCGTCATTTATGATCCCACCTCCAGCCTTCAGAAGAGGAAGACTCCGTCGCCAGCAGGGTAGGCGGCCTGCCTGTGTTGCCTGGAGCAGCATGATGGGTGGGGAGATTGTAGAGGTTGGCGTGCTCTCCATGCGAAAAGATACTGGATGCCCTGAGAGAGAAAGATCCCAAGGAAGGGATGCCAAGCGGCATGGCCGGAGAGAGATGGGGTCAGAAGAAACGGGGAGGAGTTGAGGAAAGAGACAGAGATGTGGAAGCTGTCTCAAATTATTCTTCAGTGCTTCTGGAGTAGGATTTGGGTTTGTTGGTGGGTGTGTTTCTAGATGCTTCCACCAGCTGAAATGTCTGTCAGGGGGCCCAAATGGTCTGGGTTGTGCCTATTCCCCTGAAGCTCTCATGCATCAGTTGTACATTCTCAGTGCACAGAGCTTTCAGAACAGTAACACCCTGGCCATGGTTGTCCAAACCCCACCGTGCTGGCTTCCTTCCTGGCCCAGATTGCCTCTTCTCTCACTTCAAAGGTTGTTCCAGACCAGAAGGTGTGGAGGGAGCCAGAGGAGGAGGGAGACCACGGGCCATCTCCTTGGCCCAGGGGGAAAGCTTTAGCAGGGCACAGGGTAATACAGAGATCTCCAGATGTATGTCAGAGGCCTCGGGCTCAAGATATTTCCTGCCTTCAAGGTTCATCCATATTATCACAATTGGCAGGATTTTGTTCTTTTTCGTGACTGAATAATATTCCATTGTATATACATACCACATTGGCTTTATCCATTTGGCCATCAGTGGACACTTGGGTTATTTCCATGTCTTGGCTCTTATAAATAATGATGCAATGAAAATGAGGGTGCAAATATTTTGTTGAAATAGTGGTTTTGATTCCTTTGAATAAATGCTCAGATGTGGAATTGCTGGATAATATTATGGTTCTATATTTAATTTTTTTTGTTTCTTTTTTATTGAAGTATAATTAACATACGATGTTATATTAGTTTCATTTGTACAATATAATGATTCAACAATTCAATACATTACTCAGTGCTTATCACGATAAAAGTGTACTCTTACTATTCTTAATTTTTTGAGGAACCTTCATACTTTTTCCAGAGTGGGTGCACCAATTTACATTCCCACCAACAGTGCATCAGGGTTTCCTTTTCTCCACATCCTCACCAACACTTGTTGTTTCTGGTGTTTTTGATTTAGTCATTCTGACAGGTGTGAGGTGATACCTCATTGTGGTTTTGGATGAATATTTTTAACTTTCATAGTTACCATATTTATTTTAATATCTGTAAGGAAAAATACAACTAGCACATCAAGTGTATAATTTCACTGATCTATTGCCTAGGATGAGGGTCAATACAGTCAAGTAAGTGGACTTACTTAAAGGAAGAGAATAAGGAAGTGATAGTCCAGATGGTATAGGAATATGGCAGTCATGATTGGCATTTGGGGAAATGGGCAAAATGGCATCTTCAGGTCCTCCTGGCTCTAACATTCTGGCATTCTCACCCCTCCCTGTCTTTTCTCCTGTTTTCTCTGCCTCCTCAGAAGAGAGGGCATTACAACGTTATATTTCCAGATTCAAAATAGCACAGGGTCTGTGCCCACTGGGTCTTCTCAGTCTTCCCCAGCAAAGAGCTCTGTTTTGTCAGGGGCCAGCTCTGTTTTCCCACCTCTGGTCTCTGATGAGGTACATGAAATGGCAGGAAAGCAGACCAAACTGAAAGCAAGAAAAATAGGCAGGGCTTTGCAGAGAGTGTGTAGCTGGACTTCAGTTGGGATTAGCCAAGGGGCTCTCCGCTCCATTAGCAGAATACCTAATGTGCTCATGTTTGAAAAAGCAAATCTGCAGAATTAGCAGCCAATAAATTGTTACTGTTGCAGACTGTTGATTCTGTGTTCCTCCTTTGTAACCATCAGGGCTCACTTATTTTTATTTACTTCTTGGCATGAAATCATTTCCTATGTTTTCTTTTTAACTCACTCCTAATGGCATCATGCTTGTCTGTTTTCCTTGTCCTGGATTCTGAATGATTCTTCCATAATTATCTTTTGTCTAATGTTAGACATGCATTGGTTTTCCATAGTTGATGAAGCGTGGCATGCCATGGTGGACAGACCTCGGGTGTTGGGACAGACAGACCTGGATCTGAATCTGCCTTAGCCACCTGTGATCTGTGGATTGGTGCTCCTGACTTCAATAAGCCTGGGCATCATTTTCTTTGACTACTCAACAAGAATTACGCTTCTCTCACAAGATTTTTGTGAAGATTTAAGAGGTACCCTATATGTATATATAACCCTGGCCTGAGTCTGTTGAACTTTAGACGCTAAATAAATATCAGTTCTTTTATCATTTTTCACAAGCTCGACAAGTCTTTGAACCAGACGCTACAGACAAGGCCAAGATGAATATGACCTGGGTCAGGATGGTACATAGGTTTTATTTCATGTGCCAGCCCTCATGGAAGGTGCAGCTTCAGGGAGAACCTTGTGGAGATGGATGTTAGTGGTCAGCAGGGAAGAGGAGCGTCACTGATTAACCATATCCTCCGGCGCAGGAAGGGACAGTGGGGGACGCGCCCATCCCACGTTCACCATCATGGACACAAACCCTGCTTTGGGGAAGTCAAAGCTAAGGGAGTGTGAAATTCCTGGAGAAAGAATGAAGAGCTATCAAGCACAATAGCTGTTAAGTGTTAGGTGCTTTTACACGTGTTACGTCTAGAATCCTCTCTGCAAACTGAAGATGATTGAGTTATTATCCTCATTCTATAAATGAGGAGATCTCTGCTCAGACAGGCTAAGTAGATTTCTCAAGTTCTCACAAGGTAGGAAGTGGTGGAAATGAGACTTGAACCCAGAACTCTTACTCCAGAGGCCTTTTATTTGCAGTTACTAACTTGTTAAACTGGGGTGTTCAAATAGAGTCCATTAAAAAAAACTGAGGTAAAATTAAGAAATTTAACATTTGTCAAAGTGCACTAATTTTGTGTTCAGTTTGTGAACTTTTTAAATACACCAGGGTAATTTAAATACACCTGTATAACCATCAGTCAGATTAAGATACAGAACTTTCTCACCTTTCTAGAAGGTTCCCTTGTGTGCTTTCTCAGTCAATAACCTCTTCACCCAGAGATAACCACTATTCTGATACTTATCCTATATGATTAATTTTTACTGTTCTTTAACTTCACAAAAATGGCATTTTATAGTAATTTTGCTTTTGTGTCTTGCTTTTCGTTCAACATAATGTCTGTGAGATTTATCATGTCATATTAGTACTTTTTTTTTTTAACCATTGTTACAAATACATCACAATTTATTTATCTAATCTCCTCTTGGGGGACATTTGGATTATTTGCAGTTTTTGCTTATTATGAATAAAGCTGCTATCAACATTCTTGTAATGTCTTTGGGTGAATATATACCCTTATCCTCTTCAGTCTGTACTTACTACTATACCGAACCACAGGTTCGGTGACTATTTAACTTTACTAGACATGAGGCTTTGCCTTTTCCAGTGGAAGCTCCACAAAGTCAGGGGCTTAGGTCTCCATCTATGCTACATCCCCAGGACCCACAGCAGCTCCTGGCCCAGAGTCAGTGCTAATGAGCTCTTTGTGAGCTCATGAAAATATTTGCATATTGTGCGTTTTGGTTTTCAGCTTTGTATTGGGGCTGTCATGTTTCAGTGAATGGAGATCAGAATCTCTCTCCCTGTGCCCAGAACACCCATCTTAAAACAAATGGTTTAAGATTTGTTTATTTTATTTTACAGAGAGAGAAAGAGAGTGTGCACGTGCAAAGTGGGGGAGGGGAAGAGAGAGAGAGAATCTCAAGCAGACTCCCCGCTAAGCACAGAGCCCGAGGTAGGGCTCGATCTCATGACCTGGAGATCATGACCTGAGCCCAAACCAAGAGTCGGATGCTCCACTAACGGAGCCACCCAGGCGCCCCCCACCTTTAAAAAGATTTCTTTATTTTAAAAACAAATATTTTATAAAGCCTCCTTAAATATCCGGAAACAAAGGTCATTTGTAACATTTGAATGTTACAACCTGTCTACACAGGTATTTTCTTTTTAATCAATATGGCGTTCTAACTATTCTACAAAGGAAAAATTAAAGAAAGTAATTTATAGTAAGGTAATGAGGATTTCAATATACAAATGCCTGGGGATGACTGCATCAGAAGACACAATGAGATACACAGATACTTGCAACTCTATCTGTGATCCATACAAATGCAGAGTGAGGTGAGAGAGGTCTCATGATCTTGTCACTCCTGTCTTGAATTGCACTGTTGTTGGTAATGTAATTTTCCAAGTGGTGACAAACTCTTGGTAATATTTCTAATAAAAGAAAGTACAATCTTCCCTCAATTGGTTCTGGAAAATTAATTGTCTGTTAAAACTGTGTAAGGATGCTTTCTTTCTTTACGTAAAATAGAGTTGGGGTCTAGATTCACAAAACTTCTTCAACTACTGGAACATTCTGTGGGATATATGTGGCATGACACATATTCTTCATTGAACAGAATTATCTTCGTGGTCCTCAACCATGAAATGCCTGTGAGTACCCTCTTATCACAGTGCCAACTATCCCCCCAAATTTCCAAAATATCCTTGGTACCACCCCCATGAGGACCACGGTTCTAATTCAATACCTTCATTCTATGGATGGGGAAATCTTGGGAAAGGGAGAACTGCCCCCTGGATCGTTCAGGGACTTGGAGGTTATGCATGGACCACAGTCTCCTGACTTCTTGATCTAAATGAAGATTCTATCCACAATTGCAGTTGGAGCTGGGTCACTGAATCAAGTAGATTTGGGTTCAAATCCTAGCTCTGATCTTAGGCAAACTGATTAATCTTTCTGAGCTTTTGTTTCATCATTTGTGAAGTTGAGATGGAAAATAACATTTACCTTAAAGACTTGCTGGGAGGATTAAACAAGATTATGAATACAAATCCTTGGCACATGTAGCTATTATTATACCCCTTTAAGGCTCATTTATTTAAGTACCAACAGAAATTGGTGCATCACATTGCTGTAGAAATTCTTCCTTTGAACTTTTCTCTGCAGAGAAGCACTAGTTTAGCTTTATCTTTTGTTTCCAATGCTTCAGACAATCCTTTTCCAGGGCCAAGTGTCCTTCTAAACCCTTCCCCACCAAAGCTGTCCTGAGTCAGAGTCAAGACAAAATGTCTTATGCTGAGTAGCTCAGAGCATCCTGATACTAAGAAGAACTTTGGGGCTATAATTTGGGTTGAAAAGGGGGAAGACAGAAGATGACATTTAAAAAATGTTTTTAATTTAAATTCAATTTAATTAACGTATAGTGTGTCATTAGTAACGTGGCCCTTTTGCAACTTTGCAGCCTCCACAAAGGTGGTCATAACTTTCGTGCATCCCCTTCAACATGGAAACCAGAGCCTGCAGGACAGACACAGTCTCTGAAGGACTCCTGGCTCTGTTGACTCCCTGACTCCACACCCTAAGATCAGTTTCTGGTTGTCTGCTTTCTCGCATGCTCTCTGGAGGATGGCCTCTTGTACTCACAAGCACCTCTGGACCAGCCCCCAGCCTGGCCAAAGCAGCAGACTTCTCTGCTCCCTGGTGGGCAGAGCCACACCTTCTCCAAAGATGTCTGGACCCCTCCCAAGTCTGATTCTTCCATGGGTGTTCATCTGAAGCCATAGGGTGCCTTATGAAGTCTCCTTGTATCTTACGGTTACTCTAGCATAATGGTTCTTTGTACTCAACTTGCTCTGCGTGAGTTACTATGTGTTTCTGTCTCCTAATTGGACCTAGATTGTCTTAGGAGGTGATCCCAGGAAGAAAGCAAGAGAGTGGAGAAGGAGAAAAAGCCAATAAAGAATGTGTTAATGAGTGGCTCACTATTGTGAGCACTTGGGGCTCATTTGCGCTTGTGTCCCCCTGAAGGCCTGGATGCCACACACTTCAGCATCATTCCAGCAAGAGGCAAGGGGGCTGAATAGTATATGGTATGTATCTACCTATTTTCATCCCTCACTGCTTGAGCGTTGCTCTGTGGGGACCTTCATGTCCTGGCACTTCTGTTCTGCCTTGCATACTTCTGTAGCCAGGGAAAGCCCTTGGGTAGAGAGAAGCAATTCCTTGATGGTAAGATGTCTGTGTACTAGCACTGAAGATGTGGGTCCTCTAGGGTGGACCGTGGAAATGTGCGTGGGCACTCACGTATTTACTAGTGACATGTTGCAGGATGCTGGCTGACAAAAGGAAATTGATCAGCTGGATGCTGAGCAATGGCACAGACTGATTTGAGGGTGAATTTTCTGGAAAAGCCAGTTGCAGAGAATCAAACTTTTTTCTGACTGGTATAATTTAATTGTACAGTCAGTGTTTATTATAGATAATTTTTTTTTTTTTTTGATCTTGACAATCTCACTGGCTTGCTGTCTGCATTGGAAGCACCATTTTCTGTTTCAAATATAATAAGCCAAACCTGGCTCCCACTGCCACGTTCGGGAGGTGCTGATGGCTATCCAACCAGCAAAAAGGCAGCGGTGTTTGTATTTTCCATTTTGCCCTTTACGAGAGCATTTCAGCTGAAGCGAAAGGCTTTTTTCTTCACCCTGGGTTTTTAATAGAAATCTTGGTGGCATGAAGCCTTTTTAGTTCTGAGCGCCAGCTTGTAAAGTTCAGTGGTGACAAAGCTCTGTTCTGGCACGGAACGCAGTGGGTACCAAGGCGAGAGATGCTAATCCGCAGGAGCACCAGCTTAAAAATCTAAGCAGGAGACAAGTATATTACAAAGGGTCATGGACAGTGTTTGTCTGTGGGTGATGTGGGCCGAAGGTCATTTCCATACTAAAAATTTTAAATCACTCACATTTTGCAATTAAGTCAACCAATGTATATGGTTTCCCAACTGGCAATGTATTTTTTTCTGTATTTAAATGCTCGATGAAGAAAGAATAAGGAAGCTTAAATGAAACTTCTCTGAGATAGGGTGGTCAGTGACAAAAGCAATATGCAGAACAGTGTTGTACAGCTACCCATTGTTTGAGAAAGAAGGAAAAAAAATATTATAGAGCCGCATTTGCTGATATTTACATAAAAAAATCTAATAAAAGCATCAGAGTGTGGGTAAGGAAGACAGAAACAAGGGTGACATTTTTCAGTTTATAACTTTTATATGGTTTTGATTTTAAGATCATGTCAATGTATTTCCTGTTCAAGAAAAGAAGTAACAAAATGTCTAGTGAAGAACATAGTCATTGGAAAGCAGACCTCTGTTCTTTGATCACTTTTACAACCTTTGAAGGTAGCTTCAGATGGGAAAAATGCATTCCATAAAATTCAAATTCAAATGCACGTAGTGAATCCTTTGCAAACATTTAGGGCATGAGTGGAAATTTTTTACATCCACGCTCATGGAAATTTTTTTACATCTATGCTGCTATTTACCATCTTGCCAGCAGGGGGAAGTGTTTCTCTGTTTTTCTTTGTGCCTTCTTCCAGGTCCCCAGCTTCAGATGCAAAACCAACCAAGAATTCTCCAATTCAAATCTATGCACAAAATGCACCACATTTTCTAGATTCATGGTGTTACTCTCTCATCCCGAAAACCTTTTGGGGACTTGGAGCTTCCAGCAGGCTGCTAATGATTATTCAAAAGGGCTGATTATTGGGCTTGCTGGTGTAAAGTCTTTTTTCCCCCCTTTTCTTCTCTCTTGTCATTCCACTGGGCCTCCATACATCACTTTCCATAATCAGGTATTAGGAGAAAAGCCTTAAATTATGAAAATTCACAGCGCGTGCTCTCTGTCTCTCTCTCTCTTTGTTTTACTTTGCAGAAGAGACCCAGGATTTGGAAGGCAGAACAAACAAACAAATATGAAGAGGGCAGATTTTGGACCTTCATGGATGGTGCTAAAGTTAAGAAAAGCTAAAAGAGGAAGAGAATGAGTCTTGGGGTAGTGTTCATCTCTGTGCCTGACTGGCCCTGTACCTGCTGGGACTCCGGACATCCTCACAACAGGAACCATTTTGCAAAGGATGAGATGATAGCTCTGGGAGGATGAGCATCTCATCCCAAGTTTATGTTGCTGCAAAATGATGGAATTGGAAGTAGGTGCCAGACTGCGTCCAAGGAGGAGACACTGAAGTGTTTTTTCCCTACACCATGCTAAATAAACTGCGGCAGTGCCTCCCCTGTGCGCTCTTTCCTGACTCTACCCGCGCCCCCCCACCCCCCAAGTCTCTGTCCTGCTCTCTCGCCTTTCTTAGTGTCTCTGAAGAGAGGAAAGGGAGAAGGAGAAGCCGCCCCAGAGCTCCTCAGAGGTTCAGGGGAAGCTGTTCTTGGTTGTACACTGGGAGTGATTCCTTTCAAAAAGGCAGCAACATTGAACTGCCCAAGGTCAGAGAGTCCCAGAGCTGTGGACTTGGGGAAGAGCCAGGGAAGCATGACTGTAGCCACCGTTCAACACTAGGAGGTGCCATTTCAACAAGGAGGTGCAAGCAGCAGCCGGGCATCTTTGGGTGGGTAGTAGAACCCAGCTAGAATTTTCTTTGGTTGCTTTATTTTCCTTTAGTTATGATTCATTTACTACGAAAGATTATGATTTTCTGTTGATGGTGGTGATAAGTTGTTCCTTTTAAATACAGGCCTTTAAGCAAAAAAGTCAACTTAAAGGAAAATAGTTGAGTAAATAATAGGATAGGTGGTATGTAGATGTGGCAAAATGATGAAGTGGCTCTAAACGGTTGGAATATGGAGGATGCCATCTTGGATTATTTCGACATGGGTCTTCCATCTCAGATAATTTAGGACTCTAACAGCATCATTTAAGAGTCACGGGAAAACTGGAATTGTGTCATTTCAGAACAGAAAAGGATGATCTAGTCCAATCTCCCCAGTTTAGAGTTGATGAAATGCAGGCTGAGAGGGAGGTGATTGGCAGAAGGTCACAGAGTTCTGTTGGCTAATAACGTGTGTGCGAGTGTGCACGTGCGTGTGTGTGGCATTGCAGGGTGGAGGCTGGAGGGGGCTGGAGCCAGGAGAGAAGGTCGAGATAGTAGCCAAATATAGCTCTGCTTTAAGTAATTCGAGTTGTCTGGGCACCATGGAGGGAAAGAGGGAAGAGGAGGGGGACACAGTCTTTGAACAAAGTGATAAACCCCTAGATAACAAGAGGGAAAATATCCTGAAAATCCAAGTTTCTTTTGCTTGCTGCAGCTGCAGGCCAAGAGCTGGTGGGTTTCCCTCAGTAATCTCAGCATAGCTTTTTGCTGCAGAATGTGGCGTTAAATACGATAGGTCAGCATTAAGCTTGAACAAAATGTGATGACTGATTAGGAAATGAACGGTAAGTCATGGATTGTGGTGATGCTTATCAACATCCTCCCCCCCCCCCCGCCCCCACCGGAACAAACAAAGCTCCACTTGCAGGCTCACGAAACTGAACCCAGATGGCCTTGTCCTTGGGACAACATAGCTCTGACTGTGACCATCATCTGTGAGGAAATAGGTGTCACAGGGAGAAAAGACTCAACTCGGCCTCAGACGCTTAAGGAGGGGTGCTGTGGGGGGCTCTGCCCCCTGGCGCCCCCTTCACTGTGAGGTCTGCTCTGAGTCTTGCTTTCCTATGTGTACAACTGAGATTACAGCAGTGTGGAGCAGCCCAGGATTAAAGACAGCCTCCCTTGGGATGGGGCTGGGGAGCCCAGTGCATTGTCCAGGATAGGAACTTAACATATATTTGTGGAACAGATGACCACAAGGCTGGATAAACCAATCAATGATCAATCCGTGGGGCTTTGCATGGTGCCTGGCATAGAGCCAGCCTACTGTTCACCCACATTCTTATGTGGACAAGTCGATTTTTCAGTGTCCCTATTTTTTCATGTCTAAACTTCACGTAAGAAACTGTGTTCCAGGGGCGCCTGGGTGGCTCAGTCTGTTGGGCATCTCCCTTCAGCTCAAGTCATGATTCTGGAATCCTGGGATCGGCCCTGCCCCGGGCTCCTTGACCAGCGGGGAGCCTGCTTCTCCCTCTGCCCTGCCCCTGCTTGTGCTCTCTCTCTCTTCTTTCTGTCTCAAATAAATAAAATATATATATTTTAAAGATTTTATTTATTCATTTGAGACACACAGATACAGAGGGAGAGAGAGCATGAGCGGGGGGGAGACAGACGGAGAGGGAGAAGCAGGCTCCCTGCTGAGCCAGGAGCCCGACGTGGGGCTCGATCCCAGGACCCTGGGATCATGACCTGAGCCGAAGGCAGACGCTTAACCATCTGAGCCACCCAGGTCCCCCTCAAATAAATAAAATCTTAAAAAACAAAACAAAACAAAACTGTGCTCTACAGATATGTTGTTGGTGTTTGAGAGATGAGTCTAGTGAGTGTGGGGGGTTGCCTTTTCATTCATTCACTCATTAAATCATTTATTTATCCAACCCACGGATATTTATTAAGCATTTAGTGCAGAAATAGTCTAGGCTTCTTCTTATAAGGGTTGAGACCTAGTTGGGAAGTCAGGTAACAACTACATAAAAGAAGTCGAAAGTCGGGGCGCCTGGGTGGCTCAGATGATTAAGCGTCTGCCTTCGGCTCAGGTCATGATCCCAGGGTCCTGGGATCAAGCCCTGCATCGGGCTCCTGGCTCAGCGGGGAGCCTGCTTCTCCCTCTCCCTCTGCCTCTCTCCCTGCTCATGCTCTCTTTCTCTGTGTATCTCTATGTCCCAAATGAATAAATAAAATCTTAAAAAAAAAAAAAAAAAGGAAGTCGAAAGCCAAGATAATGCTTTCAGAATATCATAACTGCTAGAACAAAATAACAATTAGATGGAAATAGTAATGCTAAGACTATTGATGAAAGCTAACATTTATGAAACACCACGTGCCATACCTGTTGTGAACATTTACCTGTATGATGCATTTAATCCATATCATCATCCTAAAAGAGGTATAATTATTGTCTTCATTTTATAAAGGGAAACTGAGGCACAGAGTTAAGAAGTCATGAGGAAAGGTGGGATATTTCAGACAGCGTGGTCAGGAAAAACTTCAGGGGCGGCACACTTAAGCGGGGGCTAGAAGTAAACATTTCTTGTGTATCTCCAAAATCCATCATTCCCTTTCTAATCCCCCCGCTTCCACCCCACCATTGTTTGGTGAGGCTATCATGCAATTCACTGTCGTGACAACTACCTTCTAGGAAAACTGGCCCTCCTTGCAGCCAGAGTGGTGTGACAGGTGTGGGGAAGACAGAGGGATTGGTCAAATGCACTCATTGCTCTCTTGACCTTACCAGGGTGTGGCTTATTAGTGGCCTCTAAATCTGAAGGGTACAAGGCTTAGACCTCTGGGATGACATAGCATGGATTCATAGCTTGCCACTCTGCACTTGCCCATGGGGAGGCCTGGTATGCATCTTCTCTTCCTTAGGCATTAAGTCATGGCTTTTACTGTGGGCGTGGGGCAGAAAATAACCCAGTGGTGGCGGCAGTAATCAGAATAATCTCATCCGTGCACACAAGACATTAAGTTTCAAGGTCTTTCGCCTCCGCATCCCACCTGGGTATCCCAACGACCTCGTGAAGGTAAGACTGTTACTCATATTTGGAAGATCAGAGACAAGGAGGCTGAGAAATTTCAGCAGCGCTGCCAAGCCCATACAGCTGGTGGGGGGACAAAGCCAGTGCTTGAGCTTTGAGAAACGAAAAATCTGTCAATTCATCTGACCATAGGCTATAGGGATAACATCTTTCTTCACAGCAACAAGAACTACCATTTATTGTTTTCAGTGTTTATCCTGTGTTGGATTCTGGACAGGGAGCTTTAAACATGTGAACCCATTCAGTCCTGTTACATACTGCATGAAGAGCAGTTGGCAAAGTGTCTAGGGTGTGGTAAGAACTCAGCGTTAACTTATATGGCTCTATTTTTGGATAAGTGGAAACGGGCCCAGAAAGGTTAAGTAACTTGTCCAAACTTACCCTGTTGGTAAACATGGGGCCATGTGGTTATGAGGTCCAGCTCTTGCCTCTGATGCCCATTGCTGGCCCGCCAGCCTCAGTGTGTGTTGTGGGCAATGCACAATGAAGTTTTACCTTTTGCAACTTGTCTCTGGCAACACTTAGACGTTCTTCAGTTTCATTTAAATTACCCTTCAGAGCCACTAAAGCCTTGGGTCTTCAGCCTTGTGAAGACTATTGAGACTGTAGCCACCTCTGTGGTTCCCTCGAGAAGCCATTCATTTTCTCTTCACTCAGGAGACACTGAGAATCTGGGGTGCTGGACAAGAAGGCTTGTCCCTCATTGTGTCTGGGGGATTCATGTTTCTTGGAAGGGATGGTAGAATTCCTCCCCTATGAATGCCATTGGATTTGGGATTCAAGTTGGGAGGGTTTCCTGTTTTGAATTTTACCAAAGTTGCAAACATAAAGCTGTTTCCTAAGTAGACAATGTCCTGGCACTCCTCATCTCTACTCCAGGCTGCAGCTTTATGTTTACTTTCCCTCATTTCAAACAGAATTTATCTGTGGGGCCTTGTGCTCAGCAACACAGAGAAGCCAAATGGAGGTGGATCTTGACTCTTGTTTCCTGGCCTCTGGGATGTGGCAGAGAAAGGGCAGGTAATTCTCAGTGGAAGCTTTTTTCAAGGAGGCAGCACTTTAGCCAAGGTTTGGAAGACATTTGGATTTTGATCGAAGGAGGAGGATGGCCAGCACAAGAAGCCATGTATCTGACAAGGGGTTAATATCCAAAATATATAAGAAACTCAAACAACCTAACAGTTAAAGAAAAACAATACATCTGATTTAAAAAATGGACAAAGGATCTGAATAGACATTTTCCCAGACAAGACTTACAAATGGCCAGCATGTGTATGGAAAGGTGAGCAACATCACTAGTCACCAGGGAAGTGCAAGTCAAAACTACAATGACATATCGCCTTACCTGTTACAATGGTCATTACCAAAAAGACAAAAGATAATAGATGCTGGCGAGCATGTGGAGAAATTAGAACCCATGTACTCTGTTGGTGGAAGTGCAAATTAGTAGAACTGCCATGGAAAACAGTAGGGAGGTTCCTCAAAAAATTAAGAAGCAGTCTAAATTCCAGGTGTATCTATATAAAGGAAATGAAATCAGCATCTCAATATCTGCACCCCCATATTCATTGCAGTATTGTTTGCAATAA